GAGGCGCAAATCCAAACGCGGGAGCACATCCTCGCAGATTGCCCTCTATACGAGTACGGAAGACACTTCCTCCGTGCAGTCTCGCCTAACATACCCTCCGCAATCATCCTCGGCACCCGCAGTGGCCTCGAGGCCCTCGCCATGTTCATCGCCACCTCGCGCGCCTTCGCAAAATCTCCCCCCGAGCCCGACGATGAACCCTAAGGTCCCGAGCCCACATCGATCTCGTTGAGTTTATGCTTTTTCCCTATGCACGTTATGTACATTATGCTTTCCCTTAGATTTTTTCATTACTTCATACGCTTCGTACTGTAAATACTGTACGAGTCCCCTCAGCGCCAAGTCCTCCCACGATACCTCATATACCTCCTATCATACAACACCTCCAAATGACCCGTAGGCCACGATCAGTAGCTTACAACCGCAATTTGTCATAGTTACAAGACGCGGTATATAAGGGCCTGTTCGGCAACCTGATATTATGTCCGACATCCGCAATATCTTGCCCTTATAAGGCAGCCGGCAAACATTTCGTGAACATTCGCCGGCTTTCGACCAATCGCGGAGCGAGATTTGCCCCTAGATCTGAGTCTGGCACAAAATATCCGGTTGCCGAACAGGCCCTAAATGTATTTCCTCCCCTACTCATCACGTGCCAGCTGGGAAAGTGCCCCAGACCGAAGCGGAATGTCTCGTACTGTGCTTTGATCGGAGTATTTCCCATCTCGCATCACCCGCCGCAAGAACATCGCGGGTATGGCTGTGAGCGAAATCCCGCACCCGAGTGCCCCCGTGTTTAGATAAAGTAGGCAATGGCTTCGCGGATCTGAGCACTCAAGCAGCGCATCTCTACTTGCACGATACTTGAAGGTGGCCATGTTGTGTCTGCACTGAACGCCAGAGGTGGTGCACATCGTGAAAGATTCTATACTCGCAATGATAAGTGACTATGTACGTGAATAAAGACAAAGAACAGAACCCACCAAGCACCTCCGACCACCCACTCGCGATCCCCGCACAGCAATCTCTGCTGCCCCTGAACGAACATCGTTCAAGAGCCTGACTTTATCTGATCGTGCGCCACAGCGTTAGCCGTACACTATAAAGGGTCATAGCGTAGCGGCCCAATGATCATCGGATCGGTCGCGCCGTACGACGTGAAGAGATCCCACCGATAGCGCTCAGGATCATCACATATCAGTACCGCACACTCAAACACGACCACAAACGCAGCGCGTCCGTACTCTACGGCGAGCGGCGTCGATGATTGGCAGCAGGAACAGCTGCCCTGACGATCAGGTCCTTACGGCGCGAGCTCGGGCAGGAGGCCTCGAGGCGCGCGGCGTGACAAAGGGGTCGAACTCGCGCCTGTTAGTGGTCTCCTCCGTTAGACGCTAGCACTGTGTTTCGGGATGTTTCGGGTGGGCTAGGGCTGGAGCCTGGAGGGATTCAGTATGATGCAAGATCCGGACGCGATGGGAGGATTCGGGACTCGAGGCGAGACTCCAGAAAACAGGAGAGAAAAGGAGAGAAGAATAATGGATGCGGCGTCGGAGGACTCGAGTGGACAACGTAACGTCGCGCCGGCGTTCACACCGCTCTCTCGTTCGCAAAGTCGAGCGCAGCGGTACATATACTCAATACACACATGGTGGCCAGGAAAGAAAGAGAAAGATGGCGGTAAGCAACTGGCTGAAGAACCTAGAGCTGCTTCACGAGCCGATTTTCGGCGTGCCTGGGGTCTCACGCGGGCCCTGGCCAACCACACCGCCCGCTGAACATCCCTCACCACCACCACCATCGTCCTGCCCCCCGCCCTCGCGCCGCCAGTCATCACTCACCTCAACATCAGCACCCAGACGCCGGCGATCGAGCATCGACTCGCGCATCACGATGGCCGAACCGGACAGCCCGCACCCGCCGCACCAACAACAGCGCGGCACAATCCTGGGCTCCTTCCTGCGCGCCCGCCCCCGCGGCATATCAACATCCGCGTCCTCGCCGCCCCCGCCAGACCACAACGCGCCGCCCATGCCCGCGAGCCCCACCCCGCACTCGCCCATCGGCGCCGAGCGCCGCCCGAGCCAGACGCCCGCCACCGCGCCCGCGGGCGCCACGTCCGGCTCGTTCTCCCAGATGCTCCGCCGGCGGCGCTCAGGGGGCAACCTCGTGAACGCCGCGGCGAGCGGGGGCGCGAACGTGGCGGCGGCCAGCCTGCCGCTGCCCGCGCCGTCGACGTCGTTGCCGGCGCCCTCGGCCCTGAACCGCGCCTCGCCGGGTCCCGCGCACACACACGGCCCGCACGCCGCCGCTGCCGCCGGCGGGGACGCACCGAGCCACCGGCTGCGGCTCGTGCCGCATATCGACTCGCGCCGGTCGTTAAGGTTCGACGCGATCACGCGCAACGTCAAAGAAGGCGACTCGCCCCTCCGCATCGGGCGCTTCACCGACCGTTCAGGGCTGGGCGTCTCAGCCGCGAACGCCTTGGGCTCCAACAAGCTCGCGTTCAAGTCGAAGGTCGTGTCCCGCGCGCACGCGGAGATCTGGTGCGAGGCCGGCGGCAAGTTTTTCATCAAGGACACGAAGAGCTCGAGCGGGACGTTCTTGAACCATGTGCGCTTGAGCGCCGCGGCGGCGGATTCGCGGCCGTTTGAGTTGAGGGACGGGGATACGCTGCAGCTGGGCGTGGATTATCAGGGCGGGAACGAGGATATTTATAAGTGTGTGAGGATGAGGGTCGAGATTGGGAGGGAGTGGCAGATGGGGGCCAATGCTTTCAAGTACGTTCTTTGCTTCTTGCTGTCTTTGGTCTATTCGTACTGATAGTATGATTGTAGTACGGCGGCGTTCAAGCAACTCCGCGCGTTCAGTCAGCCGGCAAAGCCGGCAGGCGCCGACGCGAGCGCAGGCAAGAAAGTCGCCCATGCGAAGAGCGGCTTCCCCGATTGCTGCATCTGTGCGTCATACCTCCCATTATCCTGCCTCTTTTCGTCCCCTCCACCCCGAGCGCTTCGATCCCGTACGGCTTGCGTCAGCGTCATCAGCCCTGCCTCATCACATCTGCTTACCCTACCCTACTATATCACGCACCTGTTCTCTTCCTCCATGCCCTGTCATCCTTCCCGTGATCTCTTCTCATCTGTGATCCTTCGTCGTTCTTTCTCATGCTGACCACACCTCGTTTACCACACAGGCCTGTTCAGCGTGACGATCCAACAAGCGCTCTTCATCGCCCCGTGCTCCCACGCCTTCCACTACAAGTGTATCCGACCGCTGCTGGAGGCGCACCATCCGGCGTTCGCGTGTCCGCTGTGTAGGACGTTCGCGGATCTGGACGAGGATGTCGAGGTGAGCTCTTCACTTCCAGTTTCGAGTTCGGACTGGGGGCTGTGGGTGGCGTGTGGGCGGTCGGGAGCTCCGATAGCGCTCGACTCGGTCTGCTCGGGAAGGGCGCTGGTCACTGTCTCGAGCCTCGGCCTGAGCGCCATTGTGTTCGATCCGCATGACTTCGTTGACCCATCGCGACATCTGCATCTGTCGCGAAGTCGCCAGCGAGCACTCGCCTTGGCGGTGCCCTGGGGCTCGCGGTTGCACCAAGTCTGAGCAGCATCAGACGAGCGTGTTCAAGCGCCCGATGCGCCGCGCGCCTCCGTCGCGAGGATACGAAGCGCGATGCTGATAGACGCTCTCCTACGTCATCCCCCGCTCGCGCCCATCCCGCCACATCCACCCAAAATGGGAACACTCCCACCCTCATACCCCTCACGCCCTCATCACCCACATAAATCAAAATACTCACACGCCCCTCCTCACAGGTCGACGGCGCCTCAATAGCCCTCTCCGCCGAAGTCGACGCAGAGCTGGACTCGGACGTGCCCGCTGGCGCTCTGGCGCCCGCCCTTTCGCAACCCGCGGGGACAGCAGCGATAAACGTCTCCGAAGAGGCCCTCGACACGCGCTCCAACCCGTCCTCTCAAGGACATAATAATATGGCTGACTACGCGAGCGGGAGCGAGATGGCGCTCGACGGGGGCCGGATGGGCGCGGAGACGGATGTGGAGAGGGACGGGCCGGCGACGGCTGTGCCCGGGCGATACGGACGGGACGCGGGGGGACGGTTACCGCCGATGCCGCGGAATGGGAATGGGGTGGACAGCGATGAGGACGCGGAGATGGTCGAGGCGTTCGAGGAGGCTGCCGAGGTACGTTACCCTCTCTTTCGTCCCTCCAGCCTTTTGTGCACCCGCATTGAACACGAGGGCTGATGCGCAGCGGCTTTTGTAGGATCTTGCGCCCGCCACGGACGGCGTTGATCGGCTGAGGATGAGGAGCCGGAGCGGGAGCTTGAGTGTTGATGGGAGTCCGGGCGCGAGTGGAGGGGGTGCGCATGGGGGCGTGGTTGTGGTTGGAGGAGGAGGGAGCGGAGGGAATGGGGAGGAGAGGGGGGCGAAGAGGAAGCGGTAGACGAAAGAGTGAATTGAAGGATTGAAGTGGATGGTGCTCGTACTGTCTGTCTCGCCCATTCTATCTCGCCTTCTTGTCTCTCTTTTGGCTACATGTTACCTCCCGCTCCTTTGCGACTCCTTTTCCTTCCGAACCTCGACTTGACTCGACGTACATCCGTGTTATTCATACACCCGTACACCCTTTCCGACTGCGTTTCCTCCCCCTCTCGTCGGCTCGTCTCCTTACATCACCCGGTACCCAATGCGACTCGCGACTCCCTCATCTCTCAAGTGTCTTCACATCTCCCAAGCTCCCAAGCGCCCCGATTCATAGCTCTCAACTCCCAAACAGAACTGACTAGTACTAGTACGATTAACGACCCCTTGTGACGATTATTCTCCTGGTTTTCTTCTTTCCTTTGTTTACATGATTTCTTTCTTGTGCATATATCTACATGGCTTTCTCTCTACCTTCGCTTGTGTCATGATACATCTGATGCGGGAGCGATAATGAGTAGTAGTAGTAGTAGTAGTTGACCACCAATAGGTCCCGTGCAAGAGACTGGCTGGATCGGGGCCGCACGTGGGATCGGCCACGTGCTTACCCTGCCTACGTCCCAAATCTGGTGGCGATCTCTCCGCGTTTAAGAAGTTCAACCGCCAGAAGGTAGTAGACGCCATCGTTCATCCTCTTCCTCCTCAATTCCTATTTCGAAAGTGCATATCTGTTGCTCTACTGTACATCCAGTCTCGATGATGTCGCAGGGGCCCGCAACGGGACCGGCATCAACACAAGCTGAGAATCGGTCCGACAGTTTCAGATTCTTATGACCGATCTAGCCGGCGGCCGGCTGCCACGTGCAAAGGTAGCCCTCAAAGTCCGAACTCATTGACATCTAGAGTATCTGGTATATATGTACGTGTGGATTGAGAGCTCAGTTGTACAGATATGTTATAATGTGGCGGCAGAGCACCGGCTTTGGCGATGGATGCGGTGTCGGCTTGTTCGCAGACACTATCGCAGCGGCGCGAGATGCCAGTACTAGTGCACGCAACAAAGAAAGGGTGAAGATTGACTTCATGTCAATAGGACAGGGCTAAGCCTACGTAGGCGAGCATAGATTTGTGCCGTATGGGCAGTAACATATACAGCATGCCGCCGATCGCTGGCGAGAGGGCTGTTCAACCGGAGGCGGCGCAAGACGCCAGTCGGGAGTGCATCGACGGGGTGCAAGGCGGCGTCGGGGAAACATGGCTCGCTCAAACGCGCAGGAGGGGATGTGTAGCATGGATACGTAGCACAGAAGACCTAATTTGGGGCTGGGATGTGGGGATATACGGGGAAAGCGTACTCTATCTGTGCTCGCCGCGGCGCGGATAGGGGTCCCCGCTCCATCCAGCCTCCTCGGCCTGCAGGGAGGTAGTTGGAGCCTCGTGTGCGGCCGCTGTGCGGAGAATTCGGCCCGAAATCCCGAGGCGTGTCAAGGCGCGAGAGACGCGTCGCCGCCTTTTGCTCTTTATCTTTCATCCCCCACCAAGGTCGCGCTTAGTCGACGAAGGCTTCATAGCATCCCTTTCCATGGAATGGCGTAGAGATCAGTGCTGCATGCTTCTACAATATATCCTATCTTCTCCCGCGAAAGCGCATCTTGGCGTACACACGCTGGCGAACGTATCAGGGCAACGAGACGCCGTTCTGTCATGCGTATAAGATGACTACATTCGACACTAATGAACGTCACAGTCACGGCTCACTTGGTCCCATGATGTCGTTTTGGCGCTTCCTGACAGGTTATAAATACAAACAACCGATGCTCTCATGCACGGCTACGTCGACATGCCTACTGACGATCCTGCGATCAACTACGCCCTGCAGATGGCGCCGCAAGCCAAAGGCTATGCTCTCTTCAATCCTTATCCTGGACAGTATCTCGATAAGGAAGGCCATTACGTTCGGAATCCGCGCGTCGACATCGGGGACGTCGGTTATATCGAGCAGGGTTGCTTTGTTTCTCTCTTCAACATCCACCGGGAAGAGAAGGATTCTCTGCAGACCTTCGGCGTTCCTCGCTCGTTCGAACACATTCCACCCGATGGACGTTTCTTACACCGCCACCCTGGCCCTACCCCGCGCAGGATGCACAGCCACTCGTCTACGACGTTCAGTCTTGGAGGTGGTGCCTCTGCGTACGCTGAGCGTTCAACGCGTCTACCGCTATTATACTGATCTCATCTCTTTGACGCAGACCCGGCACAACGTTGAAGGCATCTTGGGAGTTCGACCATGAGCGCGGGGCGACGTTGGCCTACTTCGATCAACACGAGATGTGCGACGCTCGCAACGTTAACCTCTACAAGAGATACTTCCGAAGACACTGGAGGTTCTGGGTCGAGTTCCTCGAAAAGCTCGATATCGGTCGTCAGATTGAAGATCTCGTATTAGTTACTGGCTGCGACCGTACACGTGCATGGGCGACCCTAGTGAGCGAGAGCCACTCCGCTAAAGCGAAGCTTATTCTCGATGTGGACACGTCATTCGGTCCTTCATTCTCGCTTACAGGCTCCGTGGGATGGAATCGGTCCGTCGTCGTACCCTCGAAATCCGGACCACCTCCGGAAGAGCTCGCAGTCTCGACTCGAACCATGCTGGCCACGATGCGCGACGAAGATCTTAATATAGCCGGCAGCAGTCAACTTACCACGCGCGACCTGCCACAGACCAAAGATGACGCCCAAATATCTCCTATCAGCGTGCCGGCAGATCAGTGCATGTTTGTGCGCGGGGTGCAGGGCGTGCCCTATCTTGGCGGCGCAATTCTCCGGCTGAAGGGAGGCGCAACCCTCGATAACCCTAGAGGCGAATCCGTTTCGAATACGGACGATAGTGTCGGTCTCTTAGCAAACCTGGATAATGGTCCTGATCACCATGGGATCGATGAGGTTAGTGTAGTACGAGAACTCCCCGGGTCTCCCTCAAGAAAGGTTCGTCGTATTATCACATCCTCTGCCGTCTTGTTCATCATCCATTTCCAGAGTGGAAGTCTGTTAGCTATGGCTCTCCAGATAGTGATTGACGTACGTTCTTCCTTCACTGTCAGAGACATAGCTCAACACTATTCGTAGCATTATGAGCCGGTTTGCGACGATGACATCCTTCTCATGCACGACAATGACCTCTTTCCCTTTTTACCTCGCCCTGGGGATGCGGAGGTGAAAGTCATTGCCATTTGCTTGCAATGAGCACCATCTCACGGATGTTTAGCACGCTACCTGGTGTAACGTCGAGGATGCTCGGTCCCAGTTAGACAGACGTATCCGAGCCTCTCCACCTAATAACATTAGGCGGAAAGGGACTACGTGGGAGCAGCGAGATGACGGTCACACAACTGTGACCGAGGTACCGTCCACACAGTCAGGTAAGGATTCGCGCTACAATCTTGCCTACTTTCGTAATGACGCGTGGAGCAGATACGGGAGATACTCCGGGTGATGAGGCAACAGGCGTCAGCGCTAGGCCCGTGGTACCAGCGCAACCGCAGGCCTCAGCCCCATTTCCCCCTCCCTCAAAAGAGGGGCGATCTGGAGGCCAAGGCAGTGACGCCATGGCTACACAAACGTTTCGCAAGCGTTTATCGCGAGTGATACACGCCCCTACACGACTTGTCAACTCAATCAAGCCCCGCGTCCGTCAAATTAGACAGAAACTCGCCGACAAACCCCGAACCCCTCTTACACCGGCATCTGGAGCCTCACCCACACCTCCCGAGAGGCCCGTCATATCCTCATTACCTATGCAACCGCCTGATACCCTAGTTCCTGGGCACCACGCAAGGGACCTCGTACCCGTGTTCTCTCCGGTTCTACCACCTATCATGCCATCCGACGCATCATCTGAAGAACCATATGTGGCCAAAGTTCACGAGATCGCTCGTCAGTATCTGTTTATGCTGTCCCAGGCCAGTCTCAAGTACGATCAAGCGCGAACCGTGCTCATTGACGCGCTGGGAGACAACCCGGACGCCATATTTCCATTGACGCAGTTCGTATCCTCGCTCGCGGAGGCCGTCACGGATTTCGATACTCATGCAAAACAATTACTGGATGATGTTGGTCATCTAGACACATTCACTCGCGGTAGACTTTCTTTCAAGGACAAGGAGGGGCCCAGTTTCACGGTGCAACATCGCTTCTTGTCGGGTAGTACAACCCGTACGCAGGATCCACCCGTAACTCCGGCCTCCCCAGCAGGCTTGCGTGAGCTTCAGGATACTGCTACGTCCATCGATGTCCTCCGTCACAGTGTGGCCTCATTGGTCACTGTAAGGATGTCGGTCCCCCGCCTGAGTGTATCCAACACCAGGGTCAACGTACCTTTGCATTCTGTCGTGGAGGTATGTGTATTATTGTCGATCATCGCAGAGCGCGACTAACTCGCGATTATCGGATCCCTTAGTTTTTGCACTCTGATCATGGTGTATATATCTTCACACTCGCCACAGTGTGCATCTCGGCGACGGATAAATGGGCTTTGAAATTCGGCTATTTGCTTGCATTTTTGTGGCCTTATATGGGGCCCTTCGTGACCGAAACCATGCTTCCCAAGATCGCTCAACTAGCCTTTGTTCAAGACTGAGTCAATCATTCACACCCTACTCACTACTATACTGTTGTTACGATATGCAAAGCCAAGTGCCGAGACTCTCACTGGCACCTGGAGGCTGGCCCTTCGTGAGCGTCAATACGAAGATGACCTCGACCTGTTCGTAGACTCTGATAAGATAAGCTATGGTAGATACAATATCGTCATAGTTGCAAATGGCGGCGAGAGACAGCAAAGAAACATCTCCGAAAGCTCCGACCTCGCGTTCGCATGTGCGCGCGCGCCGATGACGCCGCGGCGAACTCAGCTCAAGCTCTTCTTCCAACCACCATGGTTGACTGCTTGTTCACTACTATGTACTTCATGATCGTACCCATTTTCCAAACCCTACAACTAAGCCTCTACAATTGGACTACCCTCAAGTGCCTCGTCTGCGCGGCTTTCGCCTATCTCAAGAAATTATGTGGATAAACCCTCTGCACGTCCAAACACCGTCTCCAGACGCTACGGACAGCTTTAGCTGGCTTCGCATCGCAAGATGTGAGGGTGAAAGACGTGCAAGCCTAAGAATAGGATAAGATGGTGGATTGGCACGTAGCGAGTATCGGGTGATAGCGGTGACCGTCGAAATTGGCGCAGGCGGAGGTGTTAGTCTCCAAAGGTCCGTACTGAAGGCCCCTGTCCTAAAGCTATCGCTGACAGAGGTTGAATAGAACATGCTCATCAAAGATGTGCACTGGTACCTTCTACCTGCTCAGCAGTCAAGCCTTCTGGCTGATATACTATATCTTTTCCGTTCGACGCCACTTGGGCATTCAACACTCAGCGTCAATCTCTATCACCGAGAGCGACGTTCGACTATGTAGCTCGACTTTCCACCCTTGCTTCTTCCGAGACGGAGATGTGTATGGCCATTCCGGCGCGGGACCGTTGTTTGAGCGCCGTCATGAACCGCCACCTCACCTCTCAGTACCGCTTGTTCTCGCGATCATCTGTAGCCTGCGGGTCATATTCGGAGATGCCATGCAATAACATGAAGCAAATCTTTTGTTGGGATAGACGGACCGTGCTTAACCGTGCTGCGCCGGCGGTAGCTACCCTTGGAGCATAGGATGTGGCGGTGCAGGTCGACGATGACGCACAGCGACCATATACAAGCAAGTAAAGGGCGGTCTAGACGTTCACAGGTTCTGGCGTGTAATTCTCGGAAAGAGGGATGCGGACAGCACCGTGTACTTCGGCGTACCCTGTTTGATTTGCTTTGCACTGACCGTATCGCTTATATCGTCAACACGCTGACTGACATGTTGCTTACAGCACCCACCGTAAGCTTGCAGAAATCCGAGCGCTTTCGGGCACGCAATTAGGCAGAATCGGTCGTCAACACGTTGCGATATCTGGTACTTGTCTGTATGTCCGCATCGACCATGTCTTTTGTTCAGTGCTAAAGGTCCCCGACAGCTTTCTTCGCGAGCGGGCATGATGACAGGAAGCCGCATCCCTGACTCTGCGACACTCGCGTTCCGAGATCCAGAGATCTTCTGAATACTGGCAGATCCACTCAGTTTCCGCGCGCGTCAACTTCTGTCTTCTTCGCATTGGCAGTGAATGCGCCCACATGGTACCACCAGACCTGATGGTGCGTGATGTCCGACGACGCATACTGCGCACTCCTGCACAAACGACAATCAGTACTTTCTAGACTGCAAGGACGTCAAGCAAACACCGTCACGATAGACGCGCTCATGGTGTTGTACATGATCTACCTCAAGGAATCTTACACTAGTCGTGCTCCTGACATCCTTGGACGAGCATGCATACACGGCCGCTAGGGTAGCATGGGCCCTCTAGAGCGGTGGGCTCCATTCCGCTTGAGTGGTGCTCATTCGCTCGTAGTGCGAGGCCCCCTTTGGGTAGGAAACTTTCACGACGGGTAGTCTAGGAAGCCTTCCGGCTATAGCCCGGCTACGTTGACGGATGACAACGTCCCTCGAATGAACCCTCTATCCCGGCGTCTCTTGCTTTGCACAGCGACATCAACAGATCCCCCGTTCGCGCTGTGCTGCAGGCAATTTCCGCACACGTCTCGCCGGAGTAGACGTGAAAAGGCAGTCTGGGCGAGTAGACGCTTCTCTGTGCATTAGGGTTCGTGGAGATCCGGATCGCTCAGTCATATATCTACTGACTACGGCGGCATCATGAACCCACGACTGACAGGAGCCACTCCATGTGTGTTCCATTTACGTTCCATACTTCAGTCAGCGTACTCATTCTCTCACCTAGGAACGCTATCAACGGACGATCCGGTCCGCCCTCGGACACCCCGTCGAACACTGCCGATGTTCTCGACGTTCTTGGCAAACCTGTATGGCTTACCGCCCAGAGTGGGTGCAGATTCGCACTGTGCGTCACGGTTGCTCAATGGTCGTTGATATCTTTCTCTAGTCGCAGGATGCCGAGGCCTGCCTCAAACATCAGGGGCCTGGAAGAACCGCCCCGATAGCTCTCGTCTTTGCCGCATCACCTTTCAGGCACTAAGCGCAAACGGTGCACCGTGGGTTGACTCAAAGACCGCTCAGGAAGGCCAAGGCCTGGCGCGAGGGACGGTACGCTGGAATGAGTCTCTCAGCTTGTGAGTCCGGGTCGATGTAGGGACCATGTGTATCTGCCCTCATTGCTCACTCCCTCGCTCTCGTTAGCGAATCTCTGGAGCTGAGCTTGATATCTATCGCACTCTACGTGAAAGATGTCAATGGTGTAATGCAACGGGTCTGTGAGACCTCTGTCACGGTGACGACATTTCTTGAAAGCAGGCAATGTGCGTCTGCCCACGCCAAATGATCAGCCACGAGCGGCTATCGATACTGATGCCTCTGTTATAGTGCTTCTTCTTCCGACCGGAACAATTTCCGACTCTACTGAATGTACTCTCTTCTTCTCGGCGTCCCAAATGCTCGATGAACCAAACCAACAAGAGCGCAACTCATCTACCGACGAAGCGATCTCGACCGAAGAGACACGTGAGAGCCCTACCCCTACATCTGAACCCTCGACCATATGCGCAGCTACGCCGTGGTCCACTGTTCTAAGGGGTCTGGTAGTTCTCGTGGACATCACCGCTCATTTCAAGGTATGACCCTATATCTGAGGTTACGATAACATCGATGCTTACCATAGGCCAGATTCGAACACGCGGCTACTGGATCTTATGGGAATTGTACGATACATATAAGGTACCGTACACAGAAGGGTCCGGTCGCACTCGCATTGATCGACTCTTCCTCAGAAATGCATGCGTCTGCAGTTGTGTCGTCCGGAGATATGCTCCCTGACCATCTCATTAGTGACGGCAATCGATACCGTACTCGCTCAGAACCAGCAAATGGATCTCATCGCACCTCACAGGCGAACCATGTTACAGGACGTGTTCGATCAGTTGTACCACTCAGCCAACTTCATCGTGGATTACGTCTTTCATTTGGAGCACGACCGTGAGCAGCAGCGCCCATTGTCCTGTGCAGCACCAAAACGAACTAACGCGTACAAGTCATGGAAGGGCGTCACTGCTTCCGCAATGAGCCTCAGTATAGTGCGAAAGGCGGCGTCAACGTTGAGACTGTTCGCGAAGGTCATGGTCACGAGCTAGACAGACTCGCGAGGCTTGCAGCTACAACTGCACCGACATCCGAAGCCAATACAAGGCCCACCCCTTTGAAGCGTGCCACCACAATGCTGTCTGTGAACGTGAAAGACACGTTGCTCCTCGCCCTTGAAGCCATCGCTCGAACGTCTGATGCCATACCCCCATTGAAAGGAGCTACAAATGGTTTGCTGTTCTTTGTGACTCACGCAGACGTGAGTACCGTCCGGCTTCAGGCTACGTGAAAACGGCTGATATGGTTCTTGAAGGTGATGTTCGGCAATAGGTCAAAAATACAAGACATACACACACGCATCGCCGGGCTAGCGGCCCAACTTGAACCCGACATCATGCAGCGCAACTCTTTGGCCCGCTCCCATCAAGATGCCATCGCCGTCCTGGCTGAGTACGTCTATATGCGGACACTTTCAACCCATGCTAACTGGCTTCACCCGTACTTCTGCAGGGACCTGAGTACGGTCAGCACAAGTTTTGGGGAGATCTTGCGTCAGCGTAAAAGCCGCTTCAAGCGCTATCTTAGCGCAAAACGGCATCATGCAGAGTTATCGGACATGATAGGGCGACTCGACCAAGCAAGGGCCAACTTCACGGTGAGGTTCTGAAGCCTACATCGTCGTGCATGGCGCTTAACACGAGTTGCCTCTCAGACAGCTGTCTCTACCTCGAACGCGAAGACGAACGCCGAGGTTCTCGCGTGCGTCAAGGCGATCATGGCCGTCGTGGGCGAACCATGCATGTGCAATTTCGGGAGGAGTCGCTCGGACTCCAGTTCCACGTCATTTGAGACGGTCCCTCTGCAATAGCCTGGTGTCAAGATGGAAGGTAAAGACTAAGAATACGGACTCAAAGGACAATCTAGCCTACGGACTACGTGCATCGGACATCAATGAGCTTTGGACTCTACCCTGTACAAGGATGTTAAGTTATTGTAGTATCGCCACCACCATGTACTATATGCAATGCATCAGACTGTGCCGGCCTCTGGATCGAGCGTGATTACGCACCCGTCTTCTATTCAGGCAATCGTCTGCGCCAGCCAGCCCCTCATCGCCTCGACAATTGTCTTGTCCATGGTTGCAACCTGTCCCCTTCCACGCCTGCTATGTTCTTGACGGGCCTGATAGGATCGAACTAGTAGATGGTGGTCAAAAGGAAAGATGAGACGCGACGCGAGCTTAGGCGTCTCGTGCGGTCATGACGTGATCGGAAGCTCGGGCCGGGTGAGCCTCGAGGCTCACAAGCGCAGGAGACGCGGCGAACCTTGGCTCACACCAATACAAGTGTGTCCGTACTCAAGCTGGCATATTCACGAGCTTATTATCGTGTCAAGAGCTCACACTGGAGGCATAAATGGGGGAGTGAGCGTATCCCGCGCCCGAACGCGAAGTGTACCGCTTCGACGATCCTTCTTCCCTGTTGTCGTGTCCGTACGATCATCACTCGTGGCCGCCGCCGCAGTAAGTCCAGACACCCAAAGCATTCCAGTTGATAGAGTGGGTATACTATTAATAGAATGGGCCGAGCGCAAGCGAGCTATGCACAGCACAAAAGACGCAGGGTATAGTAGTATTACAAGCTCCGATGGCTTGTCCGCTGCCGCTTTGCAGCCCTCCCTGGACTCGGTTCACTAAGCATTCGACGCTTCATGTCAGAGAAGAACGAGGGTGGACCGACGCGAAACTCACGGTACTTCGCGCTTGACCTGTACCGTATGTTCTTTGGTATACGGACACGCGTGCCTTGCTTCGTAGAACGCTGTCGTCCGCCCATCAGTATGATGTGCGGAATTGCAGACTGAAAACTTCACATACCGAGAATGAGCATGACGGCTTCAAAGCGTTCCACCGAGCAGGATAGGCTACATAGCCAGTGATTCGGCCCATTGGGTAGGGCTTGCACTGTCTCGAGCGTAAAGTCTTTCATGTTCTCTTTGCGAGCTTTGCATCGTAGAGGGATGCCGTGCGTGGGTATAGCTTCTGAGAAGAGTATCTCCGCCTTGAACGTCTTCGTCTTGTCGACCATGTCACAAAGGTGGGCTACGCCTTTCACCAAGGGCGCGTCGACCCAGCGAAGGAACGTGCCGGGTGCGGGTGCCATATCGTCGGACCGCATGCACATATGGACAATGATCGGAGTGGAGGACATGACGAATCGATTTCGCGGATGGCACTGACAGGTGTCAAACTTCGCTGGGGATCGTATCATACAATCTGACCTCACCTTTGAGGGTAGCAATGGGAAGTATGAGAGCCATGTTGAGGCGAAGGACCGACTTTTATACCTCTTAGAAGGATGATTTTAGGGGGCCCTGCGATGCGGACGAAGAGCGGTTCAAGTCACGCTTTGTTGACAGGAGCCGTCCAAGGGCTTTGTCAACCAGTGAGCCGCCTTGCAGGTGCACGCCGCAGCATCGAGTTCATCGCATAAGCAACGTCTTTTTTGACGTCGGGTCGCCGGTTATACATCGTCCCGGTCGTTCCGCTCGCTTTTGGGGCGCATAAAATTGATAAATGCCCTGCCGTGAGGTTGCGACCTTCGTCATGTTACAAAGCAACTGTCAAGATCACGCCTAGCCACACGTATGTTGGTGGTCCTATATAAGCGATCGGAGGATGCCTGAGATGCGAAATCATCCAAGTCGAACGACTGACAGAGCAATCGTAAGTCGCGGGCTCGTAGTGACAGCGATGGCTGTAATGCTCGATAGATCCGTACACACAGAATATGTTTAGGGAGTGTAGATAAGACGAAATGGTGGGCGAGCGAACGGAATGGCGATTCGCTCGTTATCATGGAGTGCGAGCTGTAGCGGGTATACTGATGGCGTTAACATACAAGGGACTATCTTGAAGAGGTGATTGAGCTCATATTCGCTCTACTGGTGACCATGTGAGCAAGACTGAAGTTGACAGGGTCCACTTTTCAGACGCACCTAGTCGCGACCGTCCGCTTCACTCATACGGAGTCACACCTCTCCCAGCTCCTCGAACACCGCTAAGCCGCACAAGTTAGGTTCATCGTTGAAACCAAACGGTGTACGAGATTCACTCACCAAATGCATGCAGAAGGACGGTCAAGCGATCCCCTTCCGGGATGCGAAAGATCCAGTGTTGACGAGGCAACGAGCTTGTAGCCTCGACCACGGTATACCGGCCCGCTCGATGCGTGCAACGAACCAAACTGCCAATGTCTGGCAGATCTCCAAAGAGGGCCTCAATGACAACGAGAGGTTCGCCTTCACGAGCATCAGTGGTGAGGTCGGCTAGCCACATGAGGTGTCGGTCCTCGGACAAGCAAACGCGCTTGCAGCGCAGGAATGCGCCACAGGCGGGAGCCGTACCAGATCGGATGAGGGCGTGCGTGGGTTTGGCGCAGTTGGTAGGACTTGGGCACGAAGTGTTTGAAGACATCTCTATTATCGTTCGTGAGGCTACATCGAGGCGTACAGGTGTAAAATGGCAGGCTTACCGTTGCCTAAGTCGTACAGTGGCACCGTGCACTTGCTGAACGGCATAAATCATCCACCCTCTTTATAGCTCTCCAGGTATGAGTTGTTCTATCCATCACAGGAGGGTGCCCTAGATACGATGGGTGAAAGCGGTGACATAGTAGATAGTGGTGGTAAGTCGAGAAGACGTGAAGGCGCTTACGAGGTTACACTAGTCGTCCAATGAACGAACGTGAGAACTGATCCTGGCGACAAGTGAACAATAGACGAAATCCTCATCTTCGTTTCGCAACCACCATCACGATATCCAGACCCTGTCGTTATGAGCTTACGCTCGAGAGCAATGTCATCCTATCATGCGAAGATACGACTATATCAGGCTGGACCATCTTTCAAATCCAGTTTACGCGTGTTGCAATGCGACTACAGGTCCGCGAGACCTGCGCCAGACCCTGCTTCTGATCAAGTTCGCGAGGCGCTGGCTGACTACATGCGACATTGTCATACCTGCGTGTGCGGGGTGCCGTTACTGGTAGCAACTGGCAACACTGGCATCTGTACGTCAGCATTGTTGACAGGAATCATGCAGCCGCGTGCTGCAAGCATACTCTTTCTCGCTTGGGTCTATGCACCACTGCGCGCGTGCGCAGCCGGGCATACCCTCTCAGAAAGGATGGTCTCAGTTTCCGGCATGGCGTATCCTGTTCTGGGCCGCTGTCGGATGAACTAGTGGCATTGTAGGCAGAGGGCCGGCCTCTGCGCGCGTGGCTAAGTAGTAGATGCCATTCCTCAGGCAACGACTGCCCGGTACATCTTCGAAGGCAGCCGCACTACACCCCTTTCCCGCCCTCGCATTCGGTGAATGACTTCGCATATGCCATACGGCACGCGAAGGCGTCCAGTTGCCAGCTCAGACGAATGCAGCTACTCCAAGCGGATGGCATGGTGCGCTTCATGTCGTATTGTCCACGTTGGCAATGCCTTCGCCATCTTGCCACGCGCGTGAGAGAAAGGTCAATGTGATGCGCTATGCTACTTGACCTTCCCTTTTTGAGCGAGAGCTTGCCCGTCGAAATCGAGATCGAGATGCAGGGAACATGGGCAAGCTCCGCACGAGTCGAGGCGGAGCAATGTCGCGCGCCTAACACGCCTCGTCGCGCGCCCTGCCTCTTTCGTACTCGTACCCTCGCAAACAGTGTCTCTGCACTGGAAGAGGGAGGTCGTGGCGGCGATGGCCGAGAGAAAGTCCGCTTTGGGCCTGCGCATCTCGCGTCCGGAAGACTCTTGCCTGTTGTGTAAGGCGGGCATGAAAGGGAGATGAACACAACGAGGTGGAAAACGCGGCGCCGTGTACCTGATTGCACACTGGCTATCTTAGCCACGTGGGCACGTTATAAGAGTACGAGGGCCCAGCGCATACTCTACAGGTCTCGCCGCGTCTCTCCAATTTCTCTCTTCGTCGGCTTTCTTGTTCGTTGTCGCCTCGTCCCCGCCTCGTATTCAGCGTCACCGTCCATCTAGCGAGCATGTCTCCCCCAATCATCATCGCATCAGCGTGGAGCAGCTACGACGCCGACGTGTTCGCCATCAAGAGACTCGTTCGCTACGAAGGAAGGGTACTCCACGGCTTTCGTGCCGTCCTACTCTTCCGGACCGGTCTTGACGTTTCCGGCCCCAATCAGTCTGGTCCCAACAAGCCCCTCTGCCTCGTCCGTTGGCAAGGCATGGAGCCCTATCGCGGCGAGCTTCTGTGGGCCAGCCGAGAGCAAGATGCGACCAGAACCTTCATCGTTATGCGGCGCGACGTGAGGTGTCAGGGAGGGCGCCCATCAATCCACCCGACGCCTCAAGTCAATATTACCATCTTGAACCTCGCACCACGGCCGGCCGCACACAGGGCGATTGAGGGCGCCGCCCCGGAGCAGCCAATAGTGGTACCATCTTCTCAGCCTACTGAACCGCTCGACGCTCAGGTGGCACCTGCGAGTGTGATTGGTGAGGTAAGATCTCTGAATGTTTTGCAACGAAGAACTGTCTCTGATACCTCATCAGCGACAAAGCTCACCGGCACCTCCCGTCCAAGTTAAGGGGGAGGATCAGCCCGTCGACGTCACAACCACCGAGACACGCGAGGTCGTCGACTTGACGTGGATCGACGACGATGAGGAGGATATCAAGCCGACAATGTCCGAACTTGAACGGGAGTGCGGAGTGTCGACTCCCTCCCGGCGTATGCGGCCGGCTTCAGGAGTACGAATGAAGCTCGCGACGTGTCCCAGCAAAGCTGAAATACGCGCGATGGCACGCTATGTCGCGAACAAGCCTCCCGGCACTGATATGGAGGCGCCAGAGCAGTGGATGGACTTCGTACGTGTTGGAGCTCTGTCCGCACGAAGAGGCGCTGATGGGTGATAGGATCCACGGAGGGGAATCTTCGCATGGACTAGGATTCATGTTAGGCGAAAAGACGGTATGTCTTCTTCATTCACCTGACTCAAACTTTTTTAGCTCACGGTCGCACAGAGATTGAGCGCCTCGTCCTCGACATAAGGCGAAGGAACGGACATAACACCGAGATGTGAGTGATGGACTTCATACGCATCGTGGCCTATGGGTATTGACCGAGATCTATAGGGTAATAAAACAGGAGTAGTAGTCACCCGTACGTGCACAGAGAATGAGAAGGACATTCACACTAGGACGTGGGGGAAGAGGTTACTACGAAAATGCGAGTTGATCTGAAGGACTGGTAGCGAGCGCCGGCACGATAGAGGAGAAATGTTCTCGTAAACGATGTCTCTGTCGCAATGTATGAATGTGTACAGTATATACATGGATTTGATCTGCAGGTTCGGTGAATATGTGCCCGAAGCCAGGGTTCGGCTAGTTTACGCACCGATGAACTATCCCTGCGAAAGTTCGTCCGCGAGTCCTTCCGCCGCCATCTGCTGTATCAAGTATGCTGCCCCATATCACGAACGGTACCGTTGTCCGCAGAGTACTGGGAGGGACGATCAGTGGTGACCGGTGATGGTTCAAGGCAGAGCTGGGCTTACGCTCACATCGGATCGGAAAGAAGGCGCGTCGAGTCGCCGACGCGCGTCTTCGACGATCTCATTTGCCTCTGACCGTCACCTTGCACTTCACCAATAGGCACTGTCTCGCCCTCAACCTGTAGCGTGTGATCCTCGGCAGTGAATGGAATGGATCGCACCAGTAAAGCAGTACCAGCTACCAATTTGTGGGCTCAGGTTGGTTTGAGCCGGTGGGGCCCGAAACGCGGTCAGCTGACCTTTTGACCTCGACGCGCCGCGTGAACCTTTCCCGCATTTCGGGCGCTGTACGCGTGCGCGTTGGACCCGCCGACTTGGACTACATCGCGAGGTGAAGCAGAGCCACCGGATCCTCAGTGCTTGCCACCCCAACGACCACCCGCGAAGCGTCATGCGTTTTCGAGAATGGAAAAGGGAGGTAGGTGGGATAAAAATGATCTAGGGATGAGGCCTCCGGCCTCCTAGCTCGTCAGGGAATGATGCTCAAAGGCGCTCAGCTTACCCCGATCCCGCGTCGATCTCTTTTACTAGCCTTGTGCTAGCAACATTAAGCCTGCATTCTTGCTCTGACGTCGCGCCCTCTCTCGCGGCCTCTACCGACTTTCCCTTGGCCTACTGGAAGTGGACCCTCATTCCTCGCTTCTTCGATCGTACAACGAACAATGGGACCGCAGGCGCCAACGCCAACAAAACGATTTTGCCAACCACATCCCGCCACTTGCCACCAGGACCGCCCTGACTGTACTACGTGCACTATGATGGCTTCCTGCTGTGGCCTCTTCCGATTATCGAACTCACCACGCAAAGAGAGTATCAGCTGCCTTCTATGCGTGTCGTATCCGAAAGTGCGTTTGCTTCCTAACCGGTACAAACTCGAAAGTCGGACTTCGAACTATGATTGTAAGCTGGACTTGTACACTCTTCGAGGCCCAGAAAGATGGTGCCGACGCGATATTATTGCACGGTCATATAGGGAGTAGGGCTCGCAACGCGTTTAATCTGTACGAGCTTCAAGTGCTGGTTCTTCTCGTGGTGAGCGTAGTCCTGTCGAATGTTATTGTCATTGCGCCTGGCTAGTGCTTGTATGACTCCTACAATGATGCTAGAGGACCACGACTAGGTGATCCGGCCACTTTACCGCATCCACATTGCTCATCAAATGGAGGTCTGGCTCTGTGTCCCTGCTCATTGTCTCCACGACATCCATAAAATGGGCAAATTACAGATCTTCGCCGCCCCATCGACCTTTCACTGCTATCTGCTTCGTCAATGCCTCAAACAGCCACCAGCGCACGGTACTCAAGTGCTCCCGGGACCGGCATTCGTATACGAGCCTATATCGACATTGCCGACTTCAACCTCTCGACACCTGGGCCGTCTCCGGACTTCATCTCGGACTCCAACGCAAGACTCAATGATTGCTTTCGTTGCCTTCGGCTGCCTACATTCTGGCTAACCTCAATGAGTCGGACGGGGTATATCAGGAACGAGACCTCCCCGTATCATGAGGCATTCTACGATATTGATGCAGAAGCGGTGCGCCATCCGACTTTGCTGCTCTTCGTGAACTGACATGAACATTACAGGGACAAGTTAAAAAACTTATGGAGATATTATCGCAGATTGATACTTTAAAGCTGAAAGAGGCTCACCTGTACGTTTAGTGCCTCCAGATCTCAAAGATATACACTGACGTATCTGAACATAGCGTCGCTCTGGTCCTGTAGGTTGTCTCTGAGAGATTCACCATCCGCAATTGCTTACATGGTCTTTAGATACCAAGTCAAGCCGGACATGGCTCAGACCAGACCTTGCGCAAACTCCGACCTCCCGCTCGCGATCGCGGTAAATCGCAAGGCTTGTACGAAGTACGGCCTCCTTGCTCTCAATCACTTTGCAAATAATGCGCAGCACTCAAATGCCATTCGAGTCGACAATAAGATACTCCCAGCTCCCCAGCCTCTCAGTCCGCCTACTCCTTCCCGGAAACGCTATCCTAGGACGGATCTTGTGAACAAGACGCCACTGGTTCGGGATGGTGCGGCCGCTGCAGGCAAGGCCTCGAAGACAGCGTAGCCATCGAGCGAATGGTTCAGGCCCTCGAGGATCACGAACTCACACGAGTATGAAACCTAGGATTCATGGAAATATATACTGGCTATCATCATCCCTTACGCGCTGTGATTCTATTCTTCTGTTGTACATGTATTCATCTGGCAACTCGTATCCCTGTCAATATACCCCATATCTATGCCACTTCGGTCCGCAATTAGTTGTATTTCGTCTATTCTTGGACCGTACTTTGACCAAACAATGGTTCCTACGTGATGGGATGGCCCAACGCTGCTCAAGAAGAGCAGTTCGGTCGTGAGAAGGATCCCCGACGCCTGCCTGAGGTTGCGCGGCGCGCGGCGTTCTCTCGCACTTACGTCCCCTACTCGTCAAAGAGCACGCCATTCTTTCATCCTCAATTGTCTTCTGCATGTGGGCTGCTACGCAGGTTCGTTATGGTTCTGCCACTCTCAGGCCAGATGTGAATGACCTCAGAGCATGTATACGCACCTAGAGGTATATATAACCCCTTCCTAAGCGGCATCTTCCCCGACGATAGTGATAGAGAGGTTCTGTGTCTGAGCCATGGCACATCTCATTGATACGAGAGCTAGTGGGGTGTAAGAAGCCTCAGGGCGTTGAAGAGAAAGAGGAGGGGAAGGTGATGGCGGTAGAGGAGACACGGGAAGGGGCGCGTGCCGAGACCGCGTCGCGCGGCAGGGTTGTTCTCACACTTCAAGAGGTCTTGGAGTTGCCCGCTTCCGCTCGAGCGGCACGATACAGTGCATCACAACCTCGCCCGGCTCGAACACTAGGTGTACGCTACAAAGAGTAGCCGAAGTAGCGTCTGCTTCTACACTACTGGAGACGGGCTTTGCTGGCTTGAACCCCCCAGAACTCGGCTATTCCCGTATACCGATGGTAATCGGCATTGCAAGGGTATTTCAAATGACCCTGCCAATGGATAGCGCTTGGATTGCGCAGATCCACGGAGAATTCCGACTGCATCACGGTCGCAAACAAAGCAGAACTCGCGCCAGTGCAAGATCGTCGCATCCACTATACCGCGTGACCCGGTACCTTTGATAAGAGCTGCTACTACATCTCGGTCAGAGGATGGTATGAACGGCAGTATCCGCGGCGTCAAACAAAGCAAGCCATACAAAATTCGCACGCACGTGTAGACGTATCGTTCCCGCAGAAGCCTTTCCGCGTGCATTGATCAAGAGGAAATATGCGGGACAAAGAACCATCAAACACGCTGCCGAACCTTGAAAGTGCTGCTGTTACCTCAGCACTCTGTATGGTCGTATAAAATGACCGGATCCACTGGCCTAGACGATGCATCACTCATAGCGAGCTCTGCACCTCTTCCAACACTTACTCTCAGCCAAACTCAGTACGCATATCACCACTTTCAAACTCTGCGCTCGTAGTAACCACTTCTTCATAGGCAAAGATAGCATGGACAAGGTGATCATCGCCCTCCACTGGAACGATAGATTCGACGCCCTATCCTTGGCTGGAAAGTGGACAGTCCTCCGATTTCTCGGGTACTGCGCAGTCCAGGGCGGACCTCCCAGTCTCATATTCGCCCACTGCGGCGAACAGAGAGACGCAGCTCTTCTCCAACTCATTGAATATGAGTCGACAGTCCATGTCGATGTTCAAGAATTCGTAATAGCGAGCTCGGGACGGAGACCGAATGGTCAACCCTTCATCTTCGTGCGTCGTGCGGCAGACGTACTGCTGAGCCAGGTGAGCTTGACCATGTTCCTGTGCATCGTCGCGCAAGATCTAATCTCGGTGACTGTCCATCAGACACGCATTGCACCCCAGCCGGCCGGACAACTCCCACAAGGAGCGAACCCCATCCAATCGGTCAACTCGGCAGGCTCCCAGGTGAAGGAGTAGAGTTCGCCGTACGACGATAGCTAACTCATATCTCCAGTAGTTGCCAGCACAGCCCGTTTCGCAGCCGTTCAACGCACCGTTGCCCGCTTCTCCCGCTGTGAAGCGTGAGGTCTTCGACATGACTTGGCTCTAGGCCAGCCGCCTTCGTCTTGCAACGGATGATAAGGATGATTCACGATATCGCATGTATTGCAAAGATATGAGTTCCCAATGTGCATTACCACTTAGGCAGATTCTCGACGCCGTGTTTGTACTATGATCTAAGGTTCCCTCGTCAATACGATGGCCCAGTGTGTGATGAGATACTGTACGCACCACGACCACATCTATACGCCCTCAGGGTATCTGGTCTGTCCCCCTCTTGACGCCTTCTCCCGTCCCTCTCCGAAACTTTCAATGTCCGAGGAGCATCATTCGTGATTCCGTATACTCTAGATGAGACATACCGAGTGCTCACACAGACGCAAGTCGAGAGTATGTCCCTGCAGCTTGGGCTTTTCCGCCAGCTCGTCGAGATTCATCGTCAGCTCGTCAGCTCTAGCAATGCAATGTCAGTTTTGTACCAGTAACCTCAGAGCATGTATACGCACCCAATGGTTAGATGTCAAACCCCTTCACAATTGGCTCCTAACCTTCCGGCGGCGTCGCAGTCCCCGTCCGCGGCTAATTCGCCACGACCTGGATAGCCCCGCGGCCGAGATTACTCAGTGCACAGCGCGCGGCCGTGCGCGAGCAGAGAGCATGTGTATCAATATTCAGTTCAGTACTGATGATGGGTGCCGCAACAAGTGCGAGGTACAAGAAGACATGTGTGACAATAAGAAAGATGGTGGTAGTCGACTCGAAAGAGACGCGCGCACTCGTCCAAGGCCCGGAGTCACTTGCTATTTGACCACCATCAAACATCGCACCGATATACAGTCCGCGCATCATGGATCATGGCTCACAAGCTTGGCCGGCTTTTGACAACAGAACGGCTGCGTGGAGTAGAAGTTCACCGAGAATTCCTGTCGTGGCATGAGACGGCGCGTTCGCGTTGACCAGTCTGTCACTGTATGGCCCAATTTGTTGGGTTTCCGACGGTCAGCTTCGACTCAATGCCCTTGTGAGGGCGTCTATTGTACTAGCTACTCTACGTAGTGTACAATATGGTCGTGTTCTCTGTGTATCGTCTACGGAACGAGTCCTTCGAGCTCTGTCCTTATATACCCCTAGCTTACAAATCCGCAGTANCTTCGCTCGCCTCTTTGCCAGCTGACATACAGGATCTTACAAAATCCCTACACAATTGAATGTGCGAAGGCGACTATTTGGGCTCAAGCATGGTTCGTAGTCATCACGATAGAATTACACATGTACATATACAGGCAAATCGCAATCTCAGATCGTGAATACGCGAGTGATGTCCTGCCAAATGGGTCAGCTGGCCGGTTAGTCGCAGGCGCAGATTCGAAACCTACAAGCGGATGCGAGCTACTCAGCTGTGGTCGTTGCGTCAGATGCGGGTTGGAGCGGATATCCTCGTCAATGGCGGCGAAGATTGATCCGTAGTCGAGCGTGAACCCCTTCTCCAACGCCGAGCGGAACGCAGAAGACATAGCACCAGTTTTCTTCGTGCACTGCGCTTCCTCGCGGTCCTTGCAAGCAGACCAACAGATGACGTCCGCTTGGCTTGACTTGCTAAGTATAGCGAGTTCGTTTTGTGACTCGAGAAACCCGGAGTCTGGGTCATGAGTGTAGAGATATGGTAGGTCGAGCACGGATCCCGAATGGCAAGAGTCGTACACCGCAGTAAATCGGCATCCCTGGGGCAAAGGTTTGACCATGATGTCATGTAGGTCCTATCGAAAGGTCGGCACGTGAGTCAGTCGTAGGTTGAACAGATACGGACAGGAACCCACATCGTCGAGGATGATTCCACTGGTGTCATAATCCATCGGGTAGATGAACTCGTCTAAACCGTCTTCCTCGTCTCCATCCATGTCCTTCGTTTGGAAGCCGTGGCCGGAGTAGTGGAAGAAGAACGAGTCACCAGAGCGCGCATCGTGAACGAGGTCCTTCATGGCGCGCAGTATGTTGTCTTTGGTCGGCTTAGTGCCCGGCCCACCATGATCTGGATGGTCAGACAAGAGAACTACGTCTTCTTTCCGATACTGAAAGTGGTCTAGAGAGGCAGGAAAGTATGTCAGCGATGTCCGCGGGACGAAAGCGAGAACCCTATGGACCGACCGAGAAGCAGACGACGCATGCGCTTCGCGTCTCTGATACAGCTTTCTAGATCAGACTCATGGCCGTCTTCATCGTAATAGTTGATGCCAATCTGTATATTCGAGCCTATAAGCTCAAAAAACTGCGTACGGAGATGTTGTGCAACACACGCAGAGTGCCTTGCGCTTGCCGAAGTAAGCTATAGGCTCCTCCAAGCCGTCCTCTACTGGACGATAGGATCCCTGAGGAGGTGAAATAATCCGCGATGCAGGCGGAGTGGGTGGAGGCGTCAGCAACCCGGGCGATGTAACGGCTGAGCGAGTCAGCATCTTTCATCAGCGCGGAACAGTGAAGGTGATGCTCACGAAGTGTGCGCGTCTTCCCCGCGTTGTCGATGTCAGTCAAGGAAGTACTGAGATAGATGAGTCTTGTTCATGGGGGGCATGTGATACAGAACGTACATCTGTAGATACTGCGTCTGAACAGCATCCGTGTCGAAGCAGACACTATGAACTTGCTCTGACACGAAGTCGGTCGCGCTCGACGGGCTCCGGAGAACTAGATCAGTCCAAGGAGTACCCTCGGGCTTCTGATGGAGACCTGCAGGCTCCACCACTGTCTCGCTTGAGACGTCCTTGGTGGGTGCGTGTCGGTCCGAGCTGCAATGCGCATACGAAGGCAGGTGGGCCATACTTTTGGATCATTAGTCAGACCAACAGCGCAGTGGAAGGAGGATACATACTGTCCGTGAACGCTCTTCAAAGAGAATGATTGTCCTGGGAGAAGAGGGCCGGCCCTTTCCTCGGGCGTGAGATCGGGGTAAGCTGACATCGAGCAAAGGGGGATGGGGGAGATGTGTTCGGAGCATTGTTCAGCGGCGGATAAGTAGTAGCTTCTGCGACGGGCGCTGGTGTTTGGCCTTGCCGGTGCATGGTCTGTAGGCCATGGGTGCTGTAGGAGCATGAGGCCATCCCGGGTTAGCCCTGTTCGCATTTGACACAGCAGAACATGTTGCAGCTTGATGAGCGCCGATGAGCTGTAGTGGTGTGAATCGGAGGTTCAGGACTGATCCGCGACAACCGATGCCAGGCTCTGAGGTGAGCAGAGCTGACTCTTGTATTCTTCAGTAGTTCACCGTATGAATCCTATAGTCATGATATCTTCACGAGGTTCCGGCGACAGCGGAGAGGAATTAATGCATGCCCGTTCATAGCGGATGCTCGCGCCCCGGTCGTTCACAGAAGACGTTGGAGCTCTCCTGACAGATAGGGGAACTCATTTACGCCTCCGACCCCTTCTGAACGCGCGAGTCCATCCTTCGTTGCGCTGCTCTTATGAGATGGCGAACCCATTCGTAGCGCGTGTCTGTCTCATTACTGGCCAGCCGGGCTGATGTGGAACGAAACGGATACATGATCAGCCTAGCGTGTGGAAAGTGGGACGGGCTTTGGCTCCATCATAGGCAGGTTCAGATAGTGTTCGTGATGGTGTAGCTGAGTTGACGAGAACCGAACGACATACTGAACTTCACGCCCGGTGTCTAGACCCATTGACGCTCTGCCGCCAACACATGTGCGATTACTAAGTCAATCACGCATACAATCTATGTGCTGACATGTTCTTCAGGCTATATACCCACATTTGGTCGCCTCTGCTGGTTGTTGTCCCAAACGCAGTTAGCTTCATGCCGGCGTTGCATGGAAGCGAGAACGTACCGTCAGAGGCGTTTACTAGTCTGCGAGCGCGATCAGCCAGATGTGGCGAGGGTGTTGGTCGGGGAAGTTACGTTGCTTCCTCAGTCGGAGTATACTTGAAGACTAGGGGGCGTAGCATAGTTTGTCGGGCATAGGTATGGCCGAAAGCGACGGCCGCAGCGCAGGCGCTCATCATCCCAGCGAAGGCCGCGAACCACGTACACAGATGTGCGAGGGGACCAGTTCTAAGCATAGCATGCGTATAGCTCCCGCAGAAGAAGTCAGCTCATGGAACCGACAATACGAGGCACTACGATAGCACTGCGCAATGCGCCATCTGGCACCAACGTCGTGGCCTGAAGCAAGCCGTCGCACGTCAACCGCACGGTGGAAACAACGCCTAGAGCGCGGGAACGTCACTGTCGGTGATTGCCGGCACAATCAACTATCTCTCGAAGATCCAGCCCGGGAATCTCAAGGGCATGGCATTCGAGACTACTGTACACGGATTACTAGGTAAAAGGTAGGGGGTCTGATGTACGAAGTGTGCTTGGTGCTGCACGAAAGGCTAGGTTTAGGCTTTGAACGAGGCATGATGCCAACTGCGATCTACTTTTATCAGATAGTGAAGGGAAGGGCCAGATCCTAGAAGTGAATCAGTAAAGGTATGATTCTAAGCTCTATAACGCACCATTGGATGAGAACTGCTCAGCATCGGCTTCTGCGGATAGTTCGCATTGAAAAGACTGGAGCGAATGGCGACGATCAAGGATTGGTAGGTGTGATGCCTATCATGGCGAAGCGCGTCGATGAATGCGCTACACATCACGCCGGTTGGGTTGGTCGTTCCTTTTGGCTCCGCCGCCGTTTGACTGTCCATGCACGCAGCCCATGAGAACACGTCCGCGGGACTGGCTTTCAGGCGTCTTGCCCGTCGATTGGCGCGCCACTCGAGGAGCGTGGCACCACGGATTAACCCGCTCATGACGGAGGATACACTCATCTTCTCGCCCCGCAAGTACCGCGATAGACCACGACCGCAGTCATCGTCCATTGAATACACATATGGCAAGTCGAGCGCTGACCCAGAGTAGCAACAGTCGAAGACGGAGGTGAGTCGGCATCCTGTTGGGAGTGGCTTCACCATGATGCGATGCAAGTCCTGGACATGTATGAGTTTAAGCGTCGAGTACGCATGACCGATGAACGTACATCGTCGATGATGGGACCATACGAAAGATGGTCAACAGGGCATATAGCCTCGTCCAAACCGTCGGCCTCGTCGCCATCCAGATCCTTCCTCCTGTCACCATGACCAGCGAACAGGAAGAACAGCGAGTCGTCTGGTTGAGCGTCGCGAACGAGCCACTTCATGAAGTGGATCATGTTGCTTCGTGTCGGCATGCGGCTCGGATCGCGCCAGTGTTCGTCGGTGAGCACGACGATGTCGTCTTTCCGGAAGCCACAGTCTTCTATGTCGATGTCCTCAGCGTCTCGTACGCGGAACATCGGATGGCTTTGAACTCACCGACGAGGAAATGGTACATGTGCCACGCATCGTTAACACAACCCAACAGCTGCCCTTCCTGGCCGGAGTAGTTGATGCCGATCTACGAAGGGTAATCAGCCCGAGCAAGACTGACCCTCCACATATGACGAGTGACTCACGAGTAGCGCCTTTCGTTTCTTTCCCCGCCACGGCGAGAGCGATCGTATGCGCTGCGGTGGGTGCGGCCGCACGACGTCCTGTGAATGATGCTCGAGACGATGGGATGCCGAGGTGGTTGGGGACCAAGGCGAGGTAGGCGGGGACCAAGGCGAGGTAGGCGGGGACCAAGGCGAGGTGTGCGGGCCCGGGAACCAAGGCGATCTAGCTACAGGAGACGTCAGCCAGAGCAATCGGCGAAGCACCACTCGGCCTCGAGGCGGCGCTTACCGGGTGATCCACGACCATAGCCCTCGTCAGAACCCCCGGCATAGCCGGCATGCGATGCTCTGCTTCTACGTGGCCATGTGAGCTTCTCAACAGATGTCAGAAAGATGAAGCTATGCATACAGCGCGTGACTGCCAGGCGTCGGGGGCTGAGCACTGACGAAGGGACCGCCAGCTGAAGACCAAGGGCTTGCGAAAGCGTGTCCATTCGAAGGCGGATAGGCATTAGGTTGCGGGCCGTATCGCGCCAACTCGTCGGGGTAAGCCGATCGATCGCTGTAAAAGCGCCATATTTAGCAAGAAGGGGCCGCTGTATCATGGATGACGCGCGTACAAGGGAGGGGTGGGTCGAAACGATGGGCCATAAGCAGGGCCGTAACCGGGAGATCCAGTACGATATTCCCTGCTGGGGGTTATCGTCAGCGCGTGCAGTCTGGGGCTCGGTCGCTCGGAAACGTACCCGTTCGGAAGGTTTAAGCCCGCGCTGCCCAATATCTGAGTACCAAAACTAGTGGTAACATCATGTAGTGCGTACCTTTGCATGCCATGCCATGGTGTCGGGGGAGGTGTAGACCGATTTGGCCTATGCGATGGACCAGGGAAAGAAGGGCCGCCAGATTGGAAAGAATGGTCGTAGTAAGGGTTCCACATAGGAAGAGAAGGCCCGAGGGCAAGATGGGGGCCGAAGGGAAGCGCGGCAAAGGCAGTACGCGAACTTATATGGCGGCGCTTGAACATGCAGTGCATGACTCGTCGGATGGAAAAGTCGATGACCTGAAGGCCATACCGTTCCAGATGCGCTCTAGAGTCTGGTGTATTGGCATTTGCCTCGTATGCACTCCGGCAGTCTTGTCTTCAGGCCTCAGGGACGAGAATGGCTGCCCCGATGGGTGGTGAGCCCGGGGTGAGGCGATGACGATGCATTTATGGAAACTCAGATCGAGCACTTTCGTCTACGCGACTGGAGGCGGTGCACCGAAGAACAGTATCTGGAACGGGCATGTCACCCAAAGGGACGGTTAGGTACGACAAGCGCCTAACATCAGTTGGCGTGACCGCGGCGGGTCGGAGGATGGTTCTTGAGGCCTGAAGCCTAAGTCTCAACTTGACAATCATTGAATCATCGCAATATATGTACAACAAGAGAGATACATTCTTCTCGACTAGCTGATCTGAAGTTGTGAATAAGTAACCACGCCGGGACTCCAACTCACAAAAGAGCTTACCAGTTTCTTCACCGACCGAGATTACTCGCTTGTTCAGTCCATGCTACATCTCAGTATAGCCTATGAGATTCGGTCAGCATTCAAGCTGCCTGCACATCGAGCGTGAGCATCGACATACCTAGCGAGCCACAGAGTGCAAGAACCTGTTCAGCCTTCGAAACAGGTGTCGCATGTGGCGCTTGACCCAGCTGAACAACATCGGGCACAAGCTCAACAACGAAGTACGCTCCGGTGCGGCGCGTGCAGCGCATTCCTTCACCCTTTACAGGCATGCGTCCCGCGACAAACTCGCCTGTGAGTGTTTCTCCGTTGGATGCCTGAAGGTCGAAGAATATCTTGCCGGCGACGCGATGGACTTTGATGCATTGGAGGATGGAGCCTGGAGCCGGCGATGGGCCAGAATGCACAAGCGTGCGGGTGATGGACGGGGATAGGGTAGGTCGCATGCCAGCTATAGTCAGAAAGGAAGCGTAAGGAGTACTGCTGGTGCGTGCGCTAACGTGTACTGTACCTCAATAGCCTGTGGCGATAGAGCTGAGATCGAGGAGAAGAGGGCGCGGGGATCTGCTTTCAACCGTCCTTCAGCCAAATTATACATGGCCAGTATTCGGAACAACGACATTTGCCGAGCACCCTACCGGGAGAGAGACGGCATCGGAAACGGCTGTACGGAGACGCTAGGCGGTAGGTGGTGCATAGAGCCCGTCATGAGTTGAGTCGGATCGTCCCTATTGGCTTCCGGTTGACTTTCGGTGATCGCCGCGGCCGTTTTCCCATCTGCCGCCACAAGTGCCGTGATCGACTACAGACTGCCGACGGAGCCTCGGTTCTTCTGCTACCCCCAGTATGGGTTCCATACCCGGCCCACGATCTCGGTAGTACGGCAACATCGTCGAGGCACCTATCACTACGGCTGCAGCGGCTGCTGGTCCGTCGCGAGAACACGCAGACACCGTCTTTTCCCCCCACGACGTTCCGACGTCGTTTCCCTCGCACCTGTCATGAGAGCTCGGTGTGGCCGTGATGAAGCACTGATCGGAGGTCCATGATCCGTGTCCGTAGCAGCGTCTTTGGGCTGTAGATCTGCATGCCACTCGGTGTCGTTCATGTCAGTGTATATCCATATCCGAACTTGTGCGTTCGTATGAATCCGGACACCAGTTCAGCCAGAGACCTGCATGGTACTTGCGAGGATGGCCCTGTCGGAGACCGCTGTCTGAACTAGTCTCAGCTGTTGTATCTGCACATGTCAGGCTGGTGTTCCCGAGCACTCTGCTGTTCATGAGACCAACCGGTCGGAGGCCGTTGCGCTTGGTGGAAGGAAGACATGCCGTCCAATCTGCCCATCTAGCCGTGCCGATACCGCAAGCGCCCGCCATCCCTGCTCTCCACACAGATCGCCAGTGCGCGATCCTTCAAATCAGAGTCGGAATCTGCACGGCAGACCCTGCGAAAGAGAAGCGATTTGTGCGCGTACGGTCCTAGAGGTGGCACCACTGTCGTTGGTTTGTACTTACTCTATCCTGATCCGTGTCAGCATGAGGTAGATCATATGCATGAGAAAGACCGGATTCGTTTGTGGTAGCACTAGCTACGCTCCCTCCCAAACAGCTCACGAATGGCTAGGTATTCCTCAAGCACTCCGAATCTTCTCATGTGCGAGCGATTTACAAAATTGGGCGGGAAAGCACTGGGTCTGCTGCGTCAGATCGGATGCTTCGAAGGAGAACCAGATGTTGAGAAGCAGGCCGGATACAATCCTTGTAGAAGGAGTGCATCACTAAGATATCGATGTCTATGTACAATGCATGAAGCGTCAAACACACGTCGTTGGCTGGTGTAACGTAGAGAAACAGCGGCCCATGCAACGGGCGAAGGACAACTCCCCCGCTCTCCAATGCGATCCAGTAGATGTTCGTGCGGTCAACGCATAGCATATAAACATGCACTGTCCTATCATAGATGCTAACAGACCTGGCAGTGTCAATCAGTGCTGGTGCGGGACATGAGCCTCGCAATCACGGACCATATCTCGCCAAACCGAGGTGTTTGACTGTGTGTCTTGGGCTCTCTCTAGTCATCGAGGTACCCTGTTATGGTCTAGAGTGTCAGCACTACACTCGTTACACTGTGTTAGAACCATCTTACCCAGCGAAGCGCAAAGAGCAAGAACTCGATCAAGTTTCGAAGCGGGGGGCGTCTGCTGCCATCGCGCCAGGCGACCGGCATTGGGCGCAAGCTCGACAACGAAGAACGCCCCCGAGCGGCGCACGCAGCGTAAAAGGTCGCCCTCGGACGGCATACGCCCAGCAATGAACCTTCCGGTAATCACCACAGCGCCGTCAGCTGTCCGCAGGTCGAAGAAGACCTTGTCGGCGACGCAACGGACTGCAGCGCACTGCAGAACAGCACCTGGACGTGGGCCTGTTCGAGAGTGCAACATCGCGGTCGTGGTAGTGCTGGGTGGCGGAGCAGGGTGTTGCATAGTATCTAAAGCGATGTGTTGAGTGGCGAGGCGGACGAAAGCCGTGAGCACCATACTGACTCGGCAGTTAGAGGGTCAAGAGAGACAACTCGAGATAGGTAGGAAGAGCTGGTGCTGGGGGATGCACCGCCCAGCGGGCGAGCCTATTATACGTGCCCGACTATCGGCATTGCAAACAACCGGCATTGCAGAAATCCGGCTTTACAAAAGTGATGGTTCAGCACAAGGCGAGTTTGAGTTCAGGCACGTTTGCAACACGCGAGAAGCGTGCGCTCGGTGATTGCCAGCGTCGTTATACCAGTCGGATTATACGATTGACCGGCGCCATCAGGTCTAGGTCCTTGCAAGCTCGAGTTGTAACGGACGTGTTGATTCGGAGGCCTCCGATGCGAAGCGGGGTGGGAATCAGTATATAAAGTTGCGCTCAACGTCGTTGATAGGCCCTGCTACCCAAGAGGTCTCGCCTCTCGGGTGTCGGAGGGGATCCCGGCCTCTCGATGTGCGTGTTGAGGGTCTGCTGGGTTCGATGTGATGAAGTGACGTGAGCTACAGGCTAGTGGACAGTGGACTTGAAAGTACCGTCAAGAGCTTCGGCGTTGTCCCGACGCCGCACATCATGAGGGCCCACGGGCCATGGTAGAGCGACCCATGGCTTCCTCCGAGAGCGCACGCGAGTCCATACGCTGTCATGCTGCAATGCACGACGTCGAGAGTGGTCAAGATTCGAACCTCATTCATCTGATACGTTGTCTTCAGCAGCGGACAACGGCATGATGATGGCGGTCCAGTACACACCGATACTCAAGATACGACAACACACGCCGCTACTCACCGCGTAGAAGCTGTGCCTAGGAAGACGATGTCAGGATCGACATGACGCGGTGAGCTGTGTGCTCACTTTGATAGGGTCGTAGGATGCTGTAGGATGCATTCCGGACGTAAGATGAAAGCTAGATCTCATCCTCGTCTCTCTAGCCTGCACGCGAACGAGCAATATGATGGTGACATCTGGATGGAGATCGGGGCTATGAGTCCGAGCGCAGGTAGATCGCTGTAGTTGAGGAGCAGATAACGATCGGGCAGTCGAACTTGAGTGGAGAGGGGGGGACAAGATTATCGAATGTGCCTATGCCTTTGCGTATATAATGGCTTGATCTCGAGATGAAGGACAATAGAGTCAGCGTGGCTATCACAGTGGCTGGGTGAGCGCGATAGTAAGGCACACGCATAGAAAGCGCAGGCATCACACTTCATGGAGATGCAGCTCGCGCATACGGCAAGATCAGCGACCCTACTTCCCTATCACCAAAGCTCGCCCGGCGATCTCCAAGTACAGCGTATGTTCAGAGCCTAACCAAGCGCGTACACGCACTCTTCCAACCGAACGCGCCGCAGATAACAAGTCGGCGTCCAGATCAAGCATCACCCGTCCGACGTGGCAAGCCAAGGGACCTCCTCGGTCAACGTCTACACACGGAGTTTCGTCGCACTGCCGGAGTCCGCCCTACTCGTCCCCGCGCGAGTGTGCAGGGGTGTGCAAGTCGAGCAGCTGAGCGGATGGTCGACGTCGAGAGCAGGACCCGTCGGGTCATGTGGGCCGAACAAGGGACGCACAATTAAACGTGACGCCGACGGTGCAGGGCGAATGATGCCGGCGGCTGGTAAGCAGCTTGACGTTGAGCGCCCGAAATGACTGGGTAGCGCTCTTTACCCCAGCCACCACGACCGACCGACGACCGCTATGGTTATGCTTCACTGAATAACCGCCGACTGCTCTCACCACCGCGATGGCTTCTTCTTGAATATTACCACTGAGATTCGCTGCATCTTGAATTGGATATCGACTTGGAACCTTGTAACATCGACCAACCTGAAACCCAATCTACTCTTGTTTCTACCTACGACCCGACCCGACCCTCGAAATTTCCGCACATCCATTCCGCTCTCGCCTCGCAATCCATACCGCTGTCCGAATCTTGCTCTGATCCACCATGGCCGTCTCCCCCGTACGCCCTCCCGTTCCCAGATCAACTGCCACATCCATTTCTGACGTGAGACAACGGGTATACAGCAACACCAATCCCTGCTCTCGCTCTCCCTCGCCGCCGCCTCCGTCTCGCCCATCGAGATCAAATCCGCACCACCTCCCCCTTCCTCGCAACTATACCGCGCCACATCCGTCTCGTACGACAGCGACGACTCGTCCGTGCACCCCTCCTCCTTCAACGGAGGGCACAAGACGCTCGAGCGCGGCCCGGCGATCCAGAACGGGCTCAAGACGCGCAGACTGTCGAGCACGTCCCAGGCGCGCCGCCGGTTCGGCGAGGCGCGGGAGGCGGCTGCGAGGCCTGCGCCGTCGTCTGTGAACGGCTCGTGAGTACCCTTCGACTCTTCCTTCCCCACATCCCATACCCCACATCCGACATCGCACTCCGGCCTTCTACTTTCCGCATCGGGGAGACTGCATGCCGGATTTGAGTTTGGAATTGTTCATGGCGCTGATGCATTTCCTTAACAGGACGGCGGCTGCCGCTGCTCTCGCGAGTTTATCGCTCTCGCCTGGCTCGGGATCGGTGGGACAGGACAGTCCGCTGTCGAGCTCTGTGCCGGATTCGGAGGTCGTGGGCGAGGAGGGCGGCAAGAAGAAGGGCAAGCGCGGGACGTTGTTCACTTGCGAGTCTTGTTCCAAGGTACGCTTTTCTCCATCATTCATTCATCTTACTATCCCATATCACACGAGCGCCAATCACGAATACTTACCATGCACATGACGCACAGGTCTACCGCCACCCGAGCTGCCTGATCAAGCACCGCTGGGAACACACGCCCCAATGGCGCGAAGCGTCCAAGCTGATGCTCTCCAAGCACCAACAAGTCCAGCTCATGGAAGCAGCCGCCATCCTCTCCAACCTCTCCCCCGCGTCCACCGGCGGCCAGTCGCTCCCCGACGACCGCTCCCTCTGGCCGTCGTTCCTCTCGGGCGGCGCGTTGCCCGGCGCAAAGCCGATCCCGGCACCGAGGAGCAGCTCGTACGCCGGTAAGATGAGTCGGAGCGCCAGCGGCGGAAGTGGGAATGGGCCGAGGTTGCACGAGTTTGGCGTGGCGAGCGGTGTCACGCGTTTAAGGCCTGGTGTTGTCGCCGTGAGCACGTCGGGCGACAGTAACGGTGTTCCATCGCGCGTTATGTCTCCCTACGCAGACGAAGAAGATTCCACCATGGCCATGGACTCTGCACCACGCCGTTCGGCCGAGCCAGTCCCCGTACGCATTATGTCGCCCTACGCCGACGAAGTGGATGTAGACGCAGACGTATCGCCGAGCGTCGCTGTGCCCGTTCCGTCTGCTACGTCCGGCAGCCACAGGTACCCGCCGCGCTACGGCAGCGCGGGCGACGAGCCGTGGAGCACGTCGCTGGCGAGCAGCAGTATCGCGAGCAGCTTCGCGCGGCACGCGAGCCACACGCCGAGCTCGCTGGCGTACAGCTTTGCGCGGACGCCGAGCGACGAGGACGGGATTGGTGAGGAGGGCGAGGGCGAGGAGTACGTTGATGTTGACGCCGAGATTGAACATGTCGGTGGGGGAGGGGCGGTTAAGAAGGAGGAGGAGGAGGAGTGGGACGGGATGGATATGGAGATGGAGATGTGAGCTGCTGTTGAGTGCGAAGAAGAAGGAAGTAGTAGTAGTCTCTCTGGGGTCTGTGTACGATTTTGGCTTTTGTGTCTGCATATGATAGTATGATAGGGCTCGACGCGTGCGTCGGGCAAATGGACGGTCTCGGATTCATGTGTCTATATTTCCTTGTTTTATATTTATGTCATCTCTTCATACATTTACACGTACAGTTAGCGATCCTTCTCATATCAAGCCAAACATGAATTTCAACGCCTTCCATCACATATTTCTACAACACCAGTGAAGGTACCGGAGCATGGCGTCGAGCGAGCTGCCCCCGCCCGATGCGGGGAAGCCGTCGACAGAACCCAATATTCTGATTGGCCCGCCCCGAATAAATCGCACATGATTTCGTCGTCGCCGCGCGCCGGACCGTCCCGCGCGACGCTCATCAGGCCTGTCTTCCCCGCCTACCACCACCTCCCACCTTCTCCCTTCTTTCTTCACTTAACCTCTACTCGCACGCGCCATGCAGTCTGTTGCTCGTGGTGTCGCGCGCGGTGCGCTGAGGAGCAACCTCCGGCGCGGGGCTATCCGGACTATGGCGAGCGAGCCGCAGACGGAGACTGCGACGCCGCCGGCGGGCAAGAAGCCGCTTATGAAGGAGTTCAAGATTTACCGCTGGGTGCGTGCCCTCTTGTCAGAATATATAGAGGATATGTATTGATATGTGTTGGACGGCAGAACCCCGACGAGCCGGCGAAGAAGCCCGAGCTGCAGAGCTACAACATCGACTTGAACCAGTGCGGGCCCATGGTGCGTCTCTCTTTAGTTATACGAAATAAAGTGTATGGGATGCTGACTGAATCTGGGGCTGTAGGTACTGGACGCGCTGATCAAGATCAAGAACGAGACGGACAGCACGCTCACGTTCCGCCGGTCCTGCCGCGAGGGCATCTGCGGCTCGTGCGCCATGAACATCGACGGCCAGAACACGCTCGCGTGTCTGTGCCGTATCGACAGGAACGAGGCGAAGGACACCAAGATCTACCCGCTCCCGCACAGTGCGTACCCCTTCCCCTCATATAATGTTATTGGGTGGGATGCTGATAGGAACGCGCAGTGTACATCGTGAAAGACCTGGTGCCGGACATGACGCTCTTCTACAAGCAATACAAATCCATCGAGCCCTACCTCCAGAACGACAACCCGCCCGCGACCGGCGAGTTCCTCCAGTCGATCGAGGACCGCAAGAAGCTCGACGGGATGTACGAGTGCATCCTCTGCGCGTGCTGCTCGACGTCGTGCCCGAGCTACTGGTGGAACCAGGACGAGTACCTCGGCCCCGCGACGCTCATGCAGGCGTACAGGTGGATCGCGGACTCGCGCGATGCGGCGGGCGCGCGGAGGAAGGAGAAGCTGCAGAATGAGTTTAGTTTGTATAGGTGCCATACGATCTTCAATTGTGCGTATTCGCTCCTCTGCATTCTCCCAAGTAGCCAATACTGACGCTCTGTGCAGGCTCCCGGACGTGCCCGAAGGGCCTCAACCCCGCGGCGGCCATCGCGAAGATCAAGCTCGAGCTGGCGGCCGACTAAGCGCGCAGCGCCCATTGGCCACCCTTCCCACACTTCACCTAGCTCTCTCTCTATCCCTTCCTAGTCACTTATTGCATGGCATGTATTTCAACGTTCTCGGGTGCTCCTCAATCGCATACATTTCTTCAAGAACTGCATAGCTTCTGTGAGGGGATGGGGTGTTGAGATGACGTTTGGCGCATGATTCCGTCGATGCCGGTTGGGCGCGGGTGGGATCGGCGGGCTTTGCGGCCATGTTGCTCCGAGAACGCCCGCGCGTACTTCTGCTCCCGCTCTATCCCTTCGTTCAAACTCTCTCTTCAAGCATCTCCTCCACCTCGATGGTGTCCACATATTCTTCAATGTCTGGTTCCAGTCAGACTCATTACCGCCTCGAGTGGTTTGAGGGAGAAGAGCGACGGACCGCGGTGTTTATCTTTGACGATCTTCATCCACTCCTCCGGCGTCCTATATGCATGCTTCATCCGATGTCAGCCACACTTACATCTCTACTTCTAATTGACGCTCGATGCTCACTTCGCGCCAAAAACGGCCCCACTTGTCCTCATCGCTCATCCACCACTTACCCGACGTCCACTTCGCCTCGTGCTTGTGTATGTACGTCGCGAGAGTTATCTTCTCTCCGTTCGTCACAGGCGCTCGGCGCCTCGTGCGCCGGGTCGATGTCGAGGGCTGGGTAGGTTGGCTCGCGGTCTCTGCGACTTCGGCGTTGAGGAGTGTGCTCGATAGTGCTGGACCCGCTGCGATGTTCATGTCGTTATGGAGGAGATTGGTGTTGTTGACGTTGTGCTCCGAGACGGCCATATGGCGTGCCTCGGTCTGAGTAGCATTGCTGAAAGTGACGTATACGAAGGTATAGGTGTTGTTGTTGGGAGTTGTTGGGAGTCTGCGCCATCGAGTGCTGAAGTGCTGCAATGCTCGAGGTACGAGTGGTCGGTGCCACAGTTCAGGCTTCAAGGTCGACTTGATCAAAGCGGACCGTACTGAGCCAAACGAGAGGGTGGGAAGGGATACTTATACTACTCTATACACAGAGATCAGGTCTGTTCGTGACGCATGCAGGAGACTCCCAAAAAGTGGCGTCCTGCAAAAGGACTTTCCTTAACAGGAAGCACTCGTCACCCGCCCGATCCGGTATGTAAGTAGGAGCTTGGGAAGAGCTTTGGCCTCATTGTTCGATGACGATCGCGAGCGTACGCTCCGGTCAACGGGTGATGAGTATCATGTCTTCAAAGGTCATTCGAGCAAGGGGTCTTCAGAGGTACTTGAGATGATGATTAGATGATGTGCAGTACGGACCGGCCCGGACGCGATCCGTAAAGCTCGGCCGCGCCGAGAGGTCTTTGCGGGTCGACCGGCCGGAGGAGGGGGATCGCGGCCGTGTACTGATCATAGTACTTCAACATGTCGGATCTGACCTCCCTGGCCGGCCGGTTACCTTTGAAGTGTACTTATGAAATACGAAGGACCCGATCGCGAGGATGGTCCGGTAGATGCGGGTGGCGAGTACTTGAGTAAGATCCTGACTTCGGCCATCTTGCACCATCGTCGGCGCAACTTCAAGAGCGGCACAATATGATCAATAGCTCTGCAGGACCAGCCCGCGAGAGTTCCCAAGTTCTGACTCTACTGTACAAGAGGAAGAGGATTCCCTGACGTAACGAACCTAAGTGAGTAAGAAAGGGTTGAGGTGGTAGGGCAAACCGGCCTCAAAAATTCACACACGGTCTCTCACGCTTTCTCATTGGATAGCTTGCTCTCCCCCAACCTGAACTCGGACTTTACGGACGTTACAGCTGTCCCACGCACAGCCTCAGAACGGATCTCAGTACGCGGTATGTACAGCCAGCTTCTCAAAGGCACGCGCAAGTACACGCGCAACGCGCGCGGAGTCAGAACGAACGGCGCGACGACGCACCTCGGAAGTGCGGTCCAGCGACTGACGCGTCAGCAGGTTCGATCCTGACGGTGGCCTTCACCTAATGTTACACCTAATGTTACCACCATAGCCTTCCAGCTCCGGGGTAGTCAACTTAATCACTTCAACTTCAGTCTCTCTATCGATCCAATCAACTTTGTCCAATACTCTGGGTTTCGAACTTCGTGGCCAGATTTGCAAGATAGAGGTAGAGACGTCGACAGACGTCGACGCGGCCGCGCCGCGCGCGCGCCTAGCGGACTTGCTCTCGACCACGATCACGACCCCCCGGCCGCACCCCCCTCAGTTCCTCCCTTCGCCACTCTTTGCATCCTCTGTGGGGATCTCTCAGCACTGTCCTCAAGTGGGTGGTAGATCCGGTAAATTATCACCAAATTCGTACCTAGACGGCGAGCCAAAGGAGTTTCCAGCACTCAGCACCCGTCTGCGAGTCTCGAGAGCTTCGAGGGAAAAATTAGCCGCGAACCTCGTACAACGTATGTGCCTGCATCTATAGAAGGGTGAATAGGGCTTGTACCGTGACGAGAGGGCTGTTCTGTGCGTCATATTCTTGGGATCCTCGAATATTGCTTCACTAATCCCCTATTCAGGATCCCATTTGACGAGTGTAGGCATAATAATTGGCATCCATTCACCGATCAACTCCAAATTTCATGATTACGCTGGCAGTATGCGCGAATCCGTTCCATGTACTTACATCCTTCGGGCTCATAATATCATGTTGATGATCGTTCACTGTTCCCTCATCCGTGGACACCCGCCTTGACTTTCAGACACTGTGTCTGCGCCACACCGTCTCTTGCGCACCTCGATACCCGACGATGATAGTCAAGCCTGTCGTCGATCCGCACCTCAAGGACTGTTCGCTCTCATAGCATTTGCGACACCTGTGTCTGGAGCCGCCTTATAGTTCGGTTCAAGGGAGTGATGGCCCTTCTTTCGTGCTCACAGATCGAGTGTTGATTGCTGATTATTC